ACAGTAGATATATTGGATAAAGGGGGTTAAAGATGGAGCTACCAGCTAGGAGGAAACGAACGACCACAGAGAAGATTCATGGATGTAATGAAGGAGGACATGCAGAGGGTTGGTGTGACAGAGGTGGAAGATGCTCAGGTGATCCGTGGTGGCGATCCCTAAAGGGAGTAACTGACAGGAGGTGGTAATCTTTGGCAACGTTGTGTGAACATTTTCTGAAACATTTTTAGTTTTGCATGATTACGATGGAAAAAAAACAACAAAAAAAACCCAACTCCCCAAACATTTAGAGGCCTGATGTTTATGAAACGCTCCTCTAATTTAATATTAACCTAGGTAGAGTGCTTCACCTGAAGTATTCTGAGGATGCTGTCAGGCTAACAAATACAACATGATCTGGTTTCACATCCATCTTTTAAAAGTTTTGAACTAAATGGTTTGATTATCATAAAATGTGGACTGCCAATCCATCCAGAGGGTTTGCAAAGTCAGCTGATAAAATGTTACAACCATCAGAGCATAAAGTAGAACATTATCACTGAAGATTTTTTAAAGCAGGTTATCACCAAAGACTTTAAAGGGACCCTGCTTTAAGCATCAATAGGACAGCAGTCAGGAGATGAGTTTTTCTAGCCAAGTCTGCACCTTGACAAGTAAAGCAAAGTAGAAACAGTTAAGAAAAAAATAAGTGACAATGATACAAAACAAGAACCAAACTTTATTTAATTTGTTCCCCACTTGTGTCAAACAAGCTCATCACATCACATTCTTCATCAGATGGAGACAAGCTTCAAGCAAGCAACTCGAGAGGTGCACAACAGAAAGGCACGAAACTGTCGGGGAGTGACCGGACGCTCAGAATCACATGAACGAAACGGTGCGACTCGAGGAAACGTCGTCTTCACACGTGTACTATGACATGGACGGGCTAGTATGCGGTTTGATCCGGGTGATCGGTGTAAGCCTGAGTCTACTGCGTTTGAGCTTTTTCAAATATCACAGGGTTACGAGGGGACACCACCATGATTAACTCACCAAGTACTCATGTGTAAACAAATGTTCATTTCAGGAAAATATAAATCTCCTACCGTGAGTGAGAAACAACATTAAACCAGAAAAAAC